TTGCCCTCACAACTGCTACATAACATTATTGACCGCTTGTGCTCTCATAGAAATTACTTGTAGCATAAAATCACGCATTTCTTTTCATATGGAGTTGGTTGGGGTCAATTATGGACATTTGGAGATTAGGACTACGTTGCTGAAGACTTGTTACTCATTGTCTGATGATGCTTGAGCAAATCTAAAGGCACAAAGTCAAAATTTACCATCTGAAAACTGATTTGTAAATCTGAAAACAACATCTGAAAGATTTTGACTGTAGGTGTTAGACAACAGCTGTTTAAGCAGCTGAAAGTTATATTCTAAATTCACTGCTGTATTTTTGTACTCTGTTTCATCAGCTCCTCTTCATACATCCCTATTTCTAAAGAAGCTTGATGAGAAGACATAAAAAATCCTGCTCCTGTTCATGATGAACTGTGGTTACTGTGCTGTTTAAATGATGACAGTCGAACAATATGCTAATGTGCACTGCAACAGAGCGGTGCAAAACAGCAAAGCTTGTGCTGTGCTTTAGACATCACTTCCCCATCATACACGCAAACACACACACAGAGAAACACACAAAGGCACAGGCAGCGGCAGTCAGACTAATGTGTGTGTGACCTATGGTGCTAGCTTACGGCACTGGGAACATTAGTGGTTCAGATTGAAACAAATGAAGACAGCTCTTCACTTAGTCACAGTCAGATGGAGCCAGGCAATAATAACACAAAGAGGGAGAAGGGTGTATGTGCGTTTCAGCAGAGAAGCACATTTTTGTCTATGCAGGTATTTGTACACACACGCATCCCTTGCTTAATGCATGTATGCGTACATCATGACTTGTGCTTTATTTGTTAGTTCATATGAGTCTACAATTTAAAAGTTTGTCGGTGTGTTGGACAGGAATTTGTTACATATAAGTGTTGTGAGCATGCAAGGGTGTGTGTGTGTGTGTGTGTGTGTGTGTGTGTGTGTGTGTGTGCTGGTGATTAATATGTTGGGTTGGAGATGATGATGAGAACCTTCAGGGCTTTTCTGATGAGAGCCATGCGAATTAAAAACTGACAATACGATTCTTACCTAAGACAAATGCTTTCTGCGCAACACTCATTATTTTATGGATTGCTGGCTCATGCATGCTGCTAAGTGCTCTGTGGTTATTAAAATAAGGCCACAGGTTATGATCAATAATGTTTGGGTAATTAAGTTTTACAGTGAAAACTGTTTTTCTTGCATTTAAACAGATCTGCAGGGATCTTTCTGTCTGCCTTGACCCAAGGTGTGGAAAAAACTAAATGTTGTAAAGATCATGTTTGATGAAGTCTTGAACTCATGCTGCTGAGAAGACACAACAGCAATCAGTTTATGTTAGACCTGTTCATAATTATTAAACCTCATTAAACCTCTGCAGCTTAGCAAGGTTTAAAGAGCAACTGATCTTAAAAAGCTCTGCGATAAATCCTCCATTTCTAATCTTCACATTCATTTGATTACAGAAGAATTAAAGCTTAAACACCAGCAAATCAAACAAAAACCAGACATGCAGATTTAGAGGAATAAGTATCAAGCAGAGAGTAACAACAGAAGGCAACTTCAATTTTCCTAGAACTTAAAGCAAATTTGCAAACTAGGAGATGACATCATTTTGCGACTTCTAGCTACTTTTTGGACAGTCAATAGCTACTTTGCTTACTGAGGAGTTGGCAACACTGACTTTGCTCACTGCTTGTTTTCTCCAAGGTTTACTTCTCCAGCCCTTACCAAAAAAAGTATACCTCAAGTTCATTTGATGAAGTATACTGAAGTTCATTTTAGTATACTTCCCAAAGTTAACTTTGTACACTAATACAACATACTAATAGTGTACTTACAAGTAAACTTCTGGGACTAATTAATTAAGTTTACTAAAGTACACTTGAAGCACACTTGAAAGTTAATGTCAAGGGACTGGATGATACCATACTCAAGAGAAATTATTTTACAGTCCTTACATGGCTCCTTTGCTCTTTAAGTTTTTGGTCTTTTACAACTTTTGTTATGAAACAAAAAACAAAAAGATAACCTGAAGAGAGCTTTAAAATGACACCTGAATCAGCTCTCTGGGTGCCATACTTCCAGAGGTATGAACACTTTTGTAACGCATGTCATGCTAATTAGCCAAAAATTAATTAGCCCCTAAATCACTAATTAGATGACTTTGAACAAAAATATTTGAGCTCTGACAGTTTCTCCTGAAAGCCAATCACTCCACCAAATTTCATCAAAATCTGTGACGTAAGTGGAGATTCTTGGTTGAATTGACATGGAATGACCCATATGATACACTGCGGTTCACTGTGTAATGCCTGTAGCCAAGTTGAGGCAGAGCATTTCTGTAGGCTCGCCATTCATCACGAGTAACGCTCGACCCCTCCTTTCATGGTGAGCAATTATTGGCACCAGTTCACTTCTCTTCTCTCCACTAAGCGGAGTACAGGTTTCCCTTGCCTTTTCCCACTGGATCGCACCCCCAGCATGCCAAAGACCCACTTCCTCCTCTTCCAGCCCCCAGCCATTCTTCCCCTTTCATACTGTATTTTTTGGAGAAAAATGCAAGTTAGAAACAAGACATTGAGTCACATAAATTAATGATGTGAGCAGAAGTAACTTAGTTTCATTAGTAAATGGTCTGTAGAGCTTTTTTAAAGTCTGACATCACGAACTAAATTCACCCAAAGCTCTTTACAGTATACATAGCATTCACGCATTCACACACTGGCATAAAGGCTACACAGAGCACTAACCACAGCCCATCAGGAGCAGGTGGGGGTTCAGTGTCTTGCTTATGGACACCTCGACATGCCTCCAGGCCGGGGGTCGAACCGGCAACCCTCCAGTCACAAGATGGCCACTCTACACACTGAGCCATGCCGCCCATATTAGTCATAACTGTAAGGTTAGACCCTCCTGCTTCTCTAGAGATTGTTACTGCCATTGTCTCTTTAGTGTTTATAAAAATACAAATTTGCAGTGGTTATACTCACCTTTCTTTTATGTCTGAAGTGACTTTCATCGAACACAACAAAGTGTCTCTTTCCCCCAATGTGCTGTCTTTTTGTCTGTCACAACTTGTTCATTGCCATTGTGTAGGCCTGTCTTACTTTTTGGGACAACTTTGAAAGGGTTGCTGAGTTGCAATGTACAAAAAAGATATTATTAGTCTAACCTGTACACAAATCTCATCCAGTTAAACAGGGAGATTTTTGATCTTGCAAAAATTGATTTGTGTCGAATCGACAAGTGTTGCACTACCCTACCAGTCACATGACAGTTACTCATAGAGCTTGTAATGAAACTCAGATAAAAACACTGATAATGTGGTAACACATTTATAGCAACATAAAGCCACATCTCCACATTGTAAACATTACCACATGTTGCAAAGAATTACATTCACAACATAGCGAAGACAACATAGCCTGCTTCATGTCGTAAAGCAATCCAGTACCTGAATTGGATGGGTGACTTTCTCTGAAAATTCTGTACTCCAATTCCAACCAAAACCATTCATATCACATGCACACTTATTCCAAAGCTAATATTTATGATGATGATAATAATAATAATAATAATAACAATAATAATAATAATAACATTCCTTAGTCATTCCTCTTTGTGTAAGGATATACAGAAATTTTGTGGCTCTCATACAAACTGCTACATCAATGCACTTATTAATCTTTTAATTTTACTTACCATTCAAATCGGTCCACACAATCTCTTCTCAGCTTCAGCTTCATTTTTACGCCAACATTTGCATTTTACCTTCGTTGTAGAATTTTTTTCTTTTGCAGCCATGTAATCAGTTTTCGGTGTTTTTTTTTAATTTTTTTCCCTCCTGTCAGCTCTCTGAATATAGTGGCTAAACCAGGCATTTTAGCAGCTTGCAAAAATTGCACCTCCAAGTTGACCGCCTGTTTGAATCATGGTCCGGTTTGAATGAAAATCCAGCGTTTTATTTATGAAGGATGATTGGCCCGCCAGAAAACTTCCAACTCCCACACTTTCCTGTGGGAACTTAGAAACTCACAGCGCAGCGCAACAAATCTACTTCTTAACATCACTGTCTGAATAGTTCCAAATATATATTTTATTTCTTTGATCGGCCTTCTTTGATAATTCATTCGTGCTTAGAAATGTATTTTGAGACAAATTTGTGACTAGCCTTTGCAATCCGAGGCTAATTTGTGACCACCATTATACAAAAGGGAACTTTACAGTGCCTACGTCCCTGAATGCAGCACCACTTTTGGCGTGCTGGGAACATGTATGGCAGGCGAAAGCGACGGAATCCCTCCAAGTTACCTTACTCTTCGTCGACTATCGGAGACGGGGAAGAAGCTGGCAGTAGTGCGGGTAGGCTACAGTAACGAAAAAGTCCCCAGTTACATCATTAAATTCGAGTCGAATGGCTAACCTAACTTTTATGACTTAGCAGGCGAATGCTTCTAAGCTAACAATCAAGCACCAACACTAATAGGTTTTTAGCTTGCTAGCTAAATTAGCTACATTTGCTACTCTTGTCAACTTTATCAACAACAACTTTATCAAAAAAGCAGGGGTTCTCAACCTTTTGCGATCCTTCACGTTTTATTGTTGTTGTGCCTATATTATTTATTTGCACTTTTGTTTTGATAGGTCTTTTGGGAGCTTTTATTTTGAAGCCTTATTTTACTGTAGCATGCTATACGTCTGTTTGCTTTCCCTCCCCCTTCATTCGGTACCCACAGAATGAGGAGGTGAGATCGGTTTGTTTTTGCTCTCCCATGATTTCGTTTCTAAAGTTGTTTCAAGAATAGAAAACCAATGTAAAATGCTTAAGATGAGTTCCTGGTGTCTTCATGTGTTACGATGTGAAAGGGTTGCAAGTAATTGAGTGTTTTTGCGTACTTTTAGCCAGTTAACTGTTCTGCAGTAGTTGTGGGGACTCACACACAGAACGTGCAGTATGTTCACTCTTGTTCTCCCTCCATCACAGACTGTGTGTGTTTGCTGCTAATGCTGCTGCGTCTTTGTTCACACTTATTGTACAGGTATGTTTCTTTTTGTTGCTCCCATGACACTTATTGTGCAGATTGTATCTGGGTATTTTGTGGAGCATTGCTAGCTCCTTCATTCGATACCCACAGAATGAGGAGACTGTGTGTGTTTGCTGCTAATGCTGCTGCGTCTTTGTTCACACTTATTGTACAGAAATAAATCACGCCACAGTTTCGGCTAAAGTGAGATCCTGTCCCTTTCTTCATTAAACGAGACTCAACACAACGTAGAGCGTAGCAAGGGTCTGCCTAGAAGTGGGCCCAAACCGGCTACACAAGGATAATGCATTTGTGTGTGTGCTTCGTCATAAACGTTCCACAATCAACTTTGCTGCTCATCCCAGAAATGCATGATCTTTATGAATGGGTCACTGTGAAGGGAAATGAGCAGGCTTTCTAATTACAGGTTCGTAAAATACAGCAGATTTGGGGCGCGCGAACATGCGCTCCACTGATTGAGCGGGGTGTCAAAACGGGATCTACCACTGCGCAGGTTTTGCGAGGGGTGGCAGGTTTGAAAATAGAGCCCGTAGACTGTATATAAGATGGACAGAGTCTGCCTCCTCGCTGGGTGACGCCACTCCGAGAACAGCACCCTCTGATGGTGGGCTGCAGTACAGGTCATAAATCCCGTCTCCGCCAGCAAAGCTTATGGGACTGTGGACAAACTTTAGAAATTTATTACACAGAACATAAATTTTTCTCCCCCCTGGTTGTGATGTTGACATGTAGTTACAGTAAGACTGGTTTGTGCCCAAGTCCTTTTTTTCTGTACAGCTCCGTTTTTAAAAGTTATTAGGGGGTTCATGTTTTCTATGATTGACACCTGGTACAGCCTATGGGCGTTCAGGGATTGCATAGCTCTCCCGGGGGGATACGCTGTTTGAGCCAAGCGTCATCACAAGGACTCTTGGTGACTGCGCGGCCGAATGCGCACAACGTTACTGCACAGCTCTGGTTTCAAGGAAGTGGAGAAAAACCCGGAATTACCGAGAGCTTTTTGGCTTCAAATCCGTATACAGGTGGAAGGCGGAACCAGGTTGTCCATCTTATATACAGTCTATGATTCCACCGAATAACTACGTAAAATAATTTGCCCTCTCATCATCTGCCTGGTACCACTGCCGGCAAATGTGCAAAATATGAATGCAGGAGAGAGGACAGTGAAGTCAGAGATTTATACATGCTATGTTCCCATCAATTGACATCAATTCCATTGGAGTAGTGCAACAAATATTTTTTTTGTAACTATGGTTTATTTAATCATATTGTCACAACTTCAAATGTTTTCGCCAATCTTAATGTATGGTTGAAAATTGTGAAACATTTCATTTATCTTTGTTTTGTTGCTTCTATCATAGAAGTATATCCACAACACATGGTCAAGAGCTACCAGAAGGTCTTGCAACACTACAGAAGAGGCAAGAATTTAACTGTGTCCTACAAGGCTGTTCGGGTGGACTGGAATACCATTGTTGGGACTGCCCCCATTGCAGAGCTGACCATTGCCTCGCCAGAGCAGGACAGGGAACTGCTGAAGGGGCACTCAAGGCTGCAAAAGCTGCAGACATTTGTATTGCAGTGTGCCAACTTTATTGAAAATGACCCTGTGTTATTGGCCGAGATAGAAAACATGAAAAAGACTTCTCCGCAAACTTCTCCCTTTCCTTAAGAGGAAATAGAAGTGAAGAAAGTGGAGTGGGTGGGGTAGTTTTAGTTCTAGTTAATTTGTTAATAAATGTTCCATACAGTTGTCATTGTTATATGGGTGGATTTTTTTTTTTGTTTTAACATTATTGTAACTGTTTTATATATTATTTCATAGCATACTGATTTTGATTTATGTTTTTTTTTTAAATAAAAATGTTATATTCTTTTATACTCTGTATTCCTAATTCTGTCACTGTATGATGTTACAAAGAGGGATAGATCCCACAGTTGTCCACCGCATTTAGCAAACATTATTAGATACTTGTTAATGATGAAAAGTCTTCACTTTAGATTGAGGGACAAAATAACATCTGCAAATGATTTAAAGATGATTTATGGATGTCTAACGAATCTTTTGTTAAACATTAAAAGACTAGATAGGAACTGCTTCGTATCAGCTCATAAAAGTCATCATTCACAACAGGTAAGTGAAAGGTTTACAAATCATTTATAATCGTCAACAGACATTTGTTAATAGTGAATAGTCTTCACTTTAGATCAAGGGACATAATGACACCAGCAAATGATTTACAGATCCTTTATGAATGTCTAGCAAATCATTTGTTAAATATGAATGAATAAAAGGTGGTACAGTAGTGTTTATAACACATCTACATCACATCCACAATTTCACTAATAATTTGCTGGTATAAGGTTGATCATATTGAAAAGATGATAGAAATTGTATAGTAAAATAGAAAAGTATAGAAATTGCCTGATTAAATGCAGCTTATTGATAATGCATGATTTATACTGCCATACTAAATGTTTAACAAATCATTCATTAACTATGCAAGACTAAATAAATTTAGTTTGTCAAATCATATTCACAACATTCACAACTGTTTTCCTCCACATGAAATAAGATTAGTAAATGATGAATAAATCACACACAAAGAATGTTGATACAGAATTTTTATTAATGTATAAATAGTTTATAAATGTTGTACATCTTTAGTTATAAATATTTAATAATCATTTACAAAAGTAAATTAATGCTTTATTCAGGATTGTTTCAATAATTTACTATTAGTTTATGAATGTCTTGTCACACAAGTTATAAATGATTTGATAATATTTATAAGTGTACATAAAAGGTTTGTTCATGATTAGTTAACTGTTTACTAATGTCTATTAATAGCTTATAATTAATATTATAAAGTGCTACCATTGTTATGTACAATGCAAGAAACCCGGAGCCTGCAAAAATTATTAAAATGTTTTTTTTGTGATCCCAGCAGAATTGACTAATCAGGCATCAGCAGGCTTCAGTATCTGTAGAAAAGCTGTCTGTATGGAGAGCAAAAGCATGCAGAACACTATCCATCCATATGATAACATCAGCAGTAATCTGAGGAGAATTCATTTCCCTCTGGAAGCAGATATCTGCATAAACGTCAGCTAACAGTCTGCTCTAGGTTGAACAGATGTGATTTTCTGGTGAAGTGAAAGTCATGAATGGTGGATATGAACTGGGCAAATTGAACACATTACGTTTATGCCTGAATTACACAACTGCATAACATGTTCAACACTTTGTTTCATTCGTTTCATTTGTGAGCGTTAAAAAAAAATTTAACTCAGTGGGAGTTTATTTTATCTGTAAAACACCAGACAAAGTGATGGTGACGGCATGCAGTTACCTGAACTCTTTTAGGGGAAAGATAGTGAGAAGGTCTGATTATCCAGTGCGTTGTTTTAGAACAGCAGATCCCTACAATGTGGTCAACCTCAACCCTGTTGGATGTAAACAGACTAAAATGGGATAATGAGGAGGACCATTCAATTGTACATAAGATACAGTGATGGGTGTTGGAATGATCCCCATTATAAACCCAAGTGCAGAGTGAAAAACTGCACCAAGGGTTTACAAGGTTGCAGCCAAAGCATGTTTTTCTACCATGGAGAGGAGTCAGGATTTATATCCATAGAAAAGGGGTTTTTCTGCAGAAAGTTCGAGACCAGTGATAACAATATACAAGTTTCCCATTCGGACTGTGGCATCTCCAGAAGATAGCCACAATGGGATCATGCTCTACCGGACTGTAGAAGTTGCTGCTGGACTGTTACTGGACAAACTGCATGTTTTCAAAGCCCAAATCTCCCAGCTAGATCAGGTCTGCTTAAGTTTGAAAAGGTGAAACCTGAAGGGCTGATACCCAGCATGTGTCTCCAGGACTTTTTTACCCCCCTGTGTGTTTACTACCTGAAGCTTCTGCTAATGTTTTTCATCCGCTAAAATCGGGTTGGAGGGCGTGCAGTAATATCTCACAGACTGCTTTCTTCTTGATCAGGGAACCTTAAAGTGATTACAATGGGGACATGATCTAGTTAGCCTAAAATCACGGCTGAAGAGATCAAATGTGTAATTAACTTTGTCATTGCACATATTGAAGATGCACCTGCAGAAAACAAGGACAGCTATCTCCACTGCAAAAATAGTTCATGTCCTGATCCACACTGCACAGAACGAATGAAACATGGTAAATACGGGTATGATGATTGAAAGGAAAGTATTTCGAGGATGTCTGCCACCTTTGATATGAAAAGTCAGACACTTAAAAGGTAATATCAAAAAGAAGAAGACGTATTGAATCAAGAACTTTACAGAAATAACGCTTAAAAAAAATAAATAAAAATAAACTGTTTAATTTCAGATAAAAAAAGTAGACTTATATAACATATATTAGCTTCTGCAAACTCCTCCTTTTCTTTCCTCTTTGCATGTAGTCAAAACCATTTTGGAAGACAAATCTTATCAGAGCGCAGCTTTAATCAGCTCCATTCCTCTTTTCATTTCACCCTCAGTTGTTAGCCCACGGAGCGATCTGTTTGGTTGTCTGTGACCTTCGTTAAACCCTCGCTAATTTGAGCCGACGACCATCTAATCACTTTAATCTATCAGCGTCTCGTCTCCAACACAAATTTCACACATCCTTCAGGACGAAGGCGAGAGTCTGTGTGTGGAGGTGAAAGTGTGCAAGTGTTATTTTGAGTCTCCTCTGAGTTTAATCATCACCTCTAACCTGAGCTTGGTTTCATCTGCACAGGCACACGTTTAAAAACAGTTGCCAAGGCATGAGCCGGACCTCCTGTTTGGACTTAATCAGATAAGAGGTGCTGCGTCTTGTGCATGCAAACAAGAACAGACGGAAACACGATCTGAAATTATGTTAAAAGTGCATTTAAAGGATATTAATGTAAATGTGCATGTGAAATCTGACTATCTTCCAGGGTCAATGTTCACCAGTCCCAAATGAAATTTTTATTGAGATTATTTTCTAACATGCTATTACTGGACTTTTACAAGCAAATAAATAAATGATGGGAGAAACAGAGGTTTCTTTCTGCAAGGTTGCCTTTTTTGTGAAGTGATGGTAGCCAGTAAGCCACTGTAAACTATCAGAGTACTATGCAGTAATTAGTCTCCTTCTCCTCCTCACACACCTACTTCATCTGCATGAGCAACAAAATAGTGTGCTGCTTAACTAGCAACATGAGGTCAGATGGACTCTGCTGCACTCAATACCAAGTGTAAATTCATGTTTCATGTAATGCATCATTCTAAGATTTTTTATAGTCATGCATCACAGGGTTTTTGAATCTTTTGGTTTTGTTTATTGTTCATCAAAACTCTAACCCTAATAGCCTTTAAATATGTTGTCATTTTGCAGATTCAAACTGAAGTTTGAGTTGAATTAGATTATCTATCCTTACAAAAACTAGTGCATTTAATTCCAACTTGAAAAGGTTTGCATGGCACACAGTTAAATATGTTTTGATTGTCATTGCCATGTCTTTGTCATAGAAAAAAAGACCATCAATGAACATTTATCGTCTAAACAGATAAATATACCTCACTGGTCATCCAAATTTTGCGCTGCTTGATGAGCAAAGTGTGATCATTTCACTTCATTTGACTGAGAGTTTTTCTTCATTTACATAGTGGCCCATATCTTCAGTGGTGTTTGTCTCTGTAGAGAATATGACTCTAAACTCTTGACTTAAATTGAGCTTTAGCATAAAGAAACAGGAGATGAGGGGGAGTGTGCGAGCACCCTGTGACCTCAGGAGATGAGCAAGGAGAAATGAGTGTGAGACACATTGTTATCACCTCCCTTTATGGTTTCCCACAGGAGACAGCAGCTGGTTGTCTATATGTGTGAGCAGAATGAGAGCCTGTAACCTTCATAAATCAATGTCAAATGATCATAAAAGCTATATATGTCTTTGAGCCAATTATCACACAGGGCACAGTCCCATGTAGATTTACAGAGTGGTACAAAGTCAATTATCGCTTTGTGGCTGCTTAATTTTCACTCCTGCCCTGACCTAGCACCTGACTTTTCACAGCGTGGGAGGAAATAATAAAAAAAAAGCTAGAGGAAGTGATGAGGACAAGCCTTTTACTAACAAGCAGTTTTTATGCTGGGTGTTCAGATAACCTTTTTGTTGTTGTTGTTTTAGATTTATAAAGACTTCCCCATTTTACCTTGTCTCTTTTTCTTCACATGGTGAAAAACATTCAATTAAAATGTGGCATTCTTTTTTTTTAAATCATGGACACAGAGTCCTTCATCCAAAAGGGTATTACAAAGACCAATCAATGTTTGTATTTCTTTTGGAACTCGTGGACACTACATCTTCTACTCTTGACATAAAGGGACCGCCCCCCAGCATCTCAGATGGTCTGGGGATCATCAGAGTCCACATTCTGGGAAGCATCCACATCTGTGAAGGCTCCATTGATGCTGATATCTACAGGTTTAGGAGCAACATCTGCTGCTATCCAGACAAAGCCTTTTTCAGGGAAGACCTTCATATTTCAGCAAGACAATGACAAACTACATTCTGACAACAGGGATTACAACAACGTGGCTCTGTAGAAGAAGAGTCCTGCTGAGAAACTGGACTGATGCAGTCCTGAATTGTCCCCCACTGAAAACATTTAGGGAGCTGATTTTCCTCTGCTGTAGCAGATCAGAAATCTCCAGTTCATTCTGAAAAATAACGCAGTCAAGAAGAGTCTAAGGTCTAAAGATTGAATTAGAAAGCTTTGGTCTGGTATATGAATCTTCAACACTGCAGCTGCCTTTGGCACAATGAATTTAAAATAAAACCT